GTCCACTTAAACACTGTTTACATACAAAGTCCTTCTCAACAGTCTGTTACTTTACATTCCAGAATCCAGAGAATCACACTGCTGCCAATACTCTCTAAACCTTTGTAGGGTTAATTTTTTCTCTTTTTTTGGTGAATACACTTAATATATCAATCACCAATTCAAATTACATAAGTTGGAATTACACATTTTTGATATGTTTGCAAGCGTTTACATTCTATGTGCATTGCATGAATGATTTGTGGCAAAATTATGTGCGAATGAGTGTATATGAGTGGGGGAAGGCTGTGGACAACCATGTTCAGGATCTGATTTGCTGTGTGGGCCTGGATCCACAGCTAAGCTGCACTCTTATTAGAGGCCAATGCTAACCTGTAACGTTAGTTAAGTTCTTGCTGGAAACACTTCCATCGCTGTAGGAATAATAATAGCAATAATAATTCACAGGTTAAACAACAACGACACCTGCTCATAAATGCAAGCAGCACAACGCACCAACATGTCTACCTTATACACCAGTGGTTCTCACAGGGACCCCCTGTGTGTGCTGGGTTTTGTTTCAAACACAGTGGAATCCCAAATTTTTAAAAAGGTGTTATTTTTTTCTTGATTTCAAATTACAATAATCATTGTCACAAGGATATAACTGAAATAACTCTGCTTGCCTTGAAGATATCCTGTACTATACTGCATGCATATATGTACATCTTTATTTCATTTTTTGCATAAGAAGATGGGACAGCCGTAGCTGATGAAATCCAAGAATCATTTGGCTAACTGACGAAAGTGTGGACACAAGGTCTCCAAAAACAGCCATTGGGTAGTGAAGACAAACTGGAATACAAAAGACAAGGAAAATGATAGCAAGCCAAACCTGCATTGCGTACAACGGAAAAGTAGTGCATTCACCAACGTAATTGGGACCCTATTGATTTACCATCTTCATGAACAGTGTCCGTTTTTTGCAAATGATTGAATAAACCGTTTTTAATCCTATACTGCTAACAAAAACAGCCATTTCGGACAATGAGGCTAAAGAGTGTACATGATCCCCTTCAATATAGTAAGAGCCTAATTAAGCAAAAAATTGTAACAGCGTTAGCGAACTGTATGAGACCGTGATTTGATGTCGCGGTGGGTACGGAGACCTAAACAAACGGCGAGATCCACTAGCACCACATTTTAAGCAAGCTATGGCTAAACGAAGCGTATCAGTAGTCGCTAGGTAACTGTCTAGCTTGCTGACGAGCGTTTAAGTAAATTCTTCCCCAATGTATGCAAATCTGTTCACAGCGAGCGGAAGAGACATGCTGGCTTTGAACTACCGGTATAACTAGCCACGTACACTTACTGTGTCAATGACTTCCAAGAGTGTTAAATCGTAATTGATTTTTATTATCCTACAGTTGTTCAGGAAGGCATGCATTAATTGTGACCAGCTAGTTTTCTTAAGAGGTCTTATGGCTGCTTCCCTACCTAGCTAGCACACAGCTATTAGCGCCCCGAACTTTAAAATGAAACTAATGCTAGGTTGTGACCCGCGTAATTCCAAGAAATCTTGCCTTCAATGATCAAGTAGAATGCGTTTTGACTGACAAGTGATTTTAGGTTTTCTTCTTCTTTTTTTTCCCCCTACTTTCACAACGAAATGTGCCACTGCTTTCAGTAAGCCTTCTGTTGCGGCCATGACAGCAAGGAGTTTCCGACCGGGTCCTGGCGCACCTGCCCCAGCCTTTCATCAACTTTCAGCCCGTGGATTCAGCTGCGGCCTGACGGGCCCTGCTCTAACAACAGGCATTCTCCGCACATTCAGACAGTACGGCAAGAATAGATTATCGACTGATGCTGCGGTTTCACCTACGATGCGAGACAGAAAGCGTGGGATACTTGACGACCACTCCTGTCTGACCTCTGCCTATGCACGACTCAGAGACACGCCTCTTTCTTTACAACAAGAACGCAGACAACATGCAAGCCTCAAGAACTAATCATTTGTGATGAGCATGAAATGCGATTTACGTGCGGCTCTTCAGATCGGATCTTTACTCACGCGTCAAATTTGTTGTTCATTATTTTCTATATGGGTGTCTGTCTCCGGAGTCTGACAACAGCCCTCCGAATTCCGCAGGAACAGCGCCGTGCACAGAGACGGGCGCGCGCATCGTGCAGTGGTAGCGTGCACCGACAGCATATGCTGTGCACTTTGGTGAAGTGGCCTCTTATCAGTTCTTTCGCTGCTATTTTTTGTTACATTCACAGAATAATATCCGGTGCCGACGAATCGTAGATGTTATTTCCGACGTCCCAACGTGTTGCATCATGGTGAAACGGTCCAGGGAATATTTTGAAGGTTTAAAAAAAAAAAAAAAAAAAGGCCAGCATACAGTACCTCTCCTTAAAGAATACATGTCACGATTTATTTCATCCTTACAGTATTGCACACGCAACATTTCAATCCATTGACCTGACGGGTTATTGTTCATCCCGTAGTCAGATTAAGACAAATACAGAACAGTTCACTGAGGTCACATTTCCGTTTAACATAAAAATAAAACATTTAAAATACCATAAATAAACACGCACCAATTTTCGTAACACTTGGGATTCCTCAACAGTAAAGATGCCAAACTCTGCTAGCTTGTTTTAAAGTGCTATGACACCTTCAAATGCGAAAAAATTAGGAACTACTGCAAAGAAGTGCCACAGTCTTCAGTCAATGAAAAATCAGTAAATAAACATAACCACATTATAATCATATTCCATTATGACATTTCAGGCAGGAAAAAGCCAGTTAATGTAGCAATGAAAATTCAGTGGGGTAGCCACAATAATAGTCTGAGAGCTTGAAATGCACCACCAAATTTGCCCAGTCAAAACGTAACCAAGTGCACAGCTTCGGACTTCTCAAAGCCGAGTTACAATCAAGTGCTACAGGATGGTCAGCGGAACACTTTCCTTAAGTTTCCCCCCCTCTTCAAGCAGAGCCCCTATCTGCTGTTGAGTGCTGCGTGGGCCAAACTATTGCACGTGGGATGCCACTGCTGGTGTGGGCCAATGCACGCGGCACCAAACGCAGATGGGTGCTTTCTAGCCCTGCAGTGCATTTGGGGATTCAGGTCACCCTCAAAACCACTCTTCAGTTCTCCCCCAGCGGTAATGGTTTCAAAGGGCGGCCCATCTTTCTCCTGCCCTGGTGTAGGTTTAGAGGGGTGTGTGTGTGTGTGTGTGTGTGTGTGTGTGTGGTGTGTGTTGGGGGGGCATTGGGGATAGAGAAGCCCCAGGCACAGCTTCAAGCTCCTGTTGCTACCCGACATCCCCCCCCCACAAAGAGGGCTCATGAGTGGCGTCTTTGTTTTGGCGGTGGGATGGCCAGCAAGGAGGGGGCAACAACCCCACCTTCAAACGGCCCCTGTCTGTTACGCCACCGAGTCACGTCGCCTCCCATTAGTGCCGAAGCAGTGAACTGGCTGTGATGTCCGAATCGCAACCGCCTGCCCCCTCTGTGGACAAATAAAGACTCTGCGGCTTTGTTTGCCCTTGATCTGGAGGGAGTGTTTGTGGGGGTGGGGGGGCGTCGGTCCTTTCATCTCAGTCCAGGAGCCGAACCCACGTCACAGTACAGTGGGGGGGGGCGGTTCGCCCATCATTAGCTGCGCATAACGGAGATGTTTGAAACCTGCCGAAAAAGTGAGGGAGAGTGAGAAAGAGAGGGGGAGAGAGCGGGGCAATAGAGAGGCAGAAGGGTGGGGAACTATATCAACATACAGAACTATGTAGCAAATTAAACATTCTTTCAATATGCAGTGCAGTGATTTATTATTTAAACCATACGAACTTCACTAAATAACATTTTATTCTTCTCAAGCAAAAGCAAAGAACTTCAAAGAACTATAGCCTGTGCCCCAGTCATTGTCACAGATGAACACTGCCCTCTGGTGCAGCTTGTGAAAATAACCTGGGCACTGCAGACGGTGATAAATCTTTCTGACAAATGCAGAAGAAAACATTCCCAGCGTTGCGGGCCACGGCAGCCAAAGAGGGCCAAAAGCAGGAACTCACCTCCTGTATTAACTGCCCCAATGCCTCCTGGCTCTTCACCACTTTCCTAATCAGAAAATAAATGCAAAAAAAATGGTGGTTGGGCACTGCTGACATCTTGTGATATCCAAATTCATTTTTAGAACAATAGTATTTTTGGACATATTAACTCATAATCTCATGACAAATCCTGCAATGTGCAGGAAACTTTCTCAATGTAGGATGTAGTCCATCATTAACAATTACAGATGCAGGGTGTAAAAAAAAAAACTGATATGGTGTAAAGCCCACAACATGAATTTTACAATCTCAATTCCACAAGACTTTGGACGGTATGTAAAATGTAAATAAAAACAGTAATCTCTCTTACATTTAGTTGAAAACAGCACAAAGAAAAATATCTGAAGTTTCACCTTATCAACTGAATCCATTTTTTACAACAAATGCCCAAGTTGATGCCTGCTACACATTCCGAAACAATTGAGACAGTGGAATGGACACACCGGAAAAGTACTGGATACCAGAAAAACACCCATTTGGAACATTGCACAAGTAAACGTGTTAATGGTTAATAAGTGATTTAATTATAATTGGTCATAAAATGAGCAGTCACATTTACCGGCAAAATGGTTTGCCGAAAGCTCTGTGAACAAATAGTCAAGTAGTTTAAGAAAGTTTCTCAACATGCAATTGCACAGAATTTGGGGGTTTTACCATAGGCAGTCCATAAAATAGTGAAAAGATTCAGAGAAACTGGAGAAATCTCTGTGCGTAAAAGATGAGGCTGAATACCAATATTGGATGCGCGTAACTTTCGAGCACTCTGCGGTATGAATCAATGTGCTTTTTTGATGGATATAACCATATCGGCTCATAAGTACTTCAGATGACCTGTGCCAGTGAACACAGATCATTGGGGCATCATAAAATGAAAGTAAAGGCTCAGCTACACAAATAGGAAGACATGGTAGCACAGTGGTTAGCGCTGTTGCCTCACAATGAGGAGGTTCCAGAATCGAGTCCTGGTGGGTAAGGACCTCTCAGTGCGGAGTTTACGTGTTCTCCCTTTATCTCCGAATACTCCGCTTTCCCCCACTTGTAAAAATTTGCTCTTCAGGAGTACTTCTACCTATGCCCCTAACCAACATAAGAACTGGAGTTGGTTCTCGGGTGCTGTACTGTGGCTGCCCACTGCTAGGATGGGTCAAATGCAGAGAACAAATTACCCCACTGAGCTCAATAAAGAATGTCTATATCATCCTACATATTGACAACCATCCAGAAGGGCTGCTGACTTCTCTTGACTCAAACTCATCAAAAATGAGCTGTGGTGAAATGGTAGGAGGTGCTGTGGTCTGACAAGTCCATCTTTCAGATTTTTTTTTTAAGAAATGATGGATGATGTTTTCTCAAGGCCACAGAAGAGATGGACCATCTTAACTGTTGCCAGCAAAATGCTCAAAAGCCAGCACCTGTCATGGCCTGGGGCTGCATACTGCTCTTGGGATAGGAGACTTGCACATCTGAGGGCACAATTGATGCCAAAGGGCACATGATGTATTATGGAACTGCATGTGCCACCTTCCGGCCATCATCTTTTCAGGGATACCCCTGCTTGTTCTAGCAGGATAATGCCAAGCCACCTTTTGCACATGTTCGTGCCACAGTCAAAGAGTGGTGGGACTAGACTGACCTGTGCCTGTCGGTCCTAAAACAGAGTCTACAACGCTTTCAGATGAAGCCTGCTGAGATGAGCCATGTGTTCTCTACCTGAGGATCTTCTTTTCCACACTGAGGGTGAAGTGGCCCTTGCAGTGGGGCTGGTATGTGGAGGGGAGGATGACGTAGGCCCCGGGGCAGAGGCTGCAGTACAGGGACACCTCCGGGGTGTAGCAGTGGGGCACACAGCTCGCCTCCGGCTCCTGATCCTGGGAGATTTGGGGGTCCACAGACCCCTCAGGGACCTGCAGGATGCATACACAGAGCATGGACATACAGAACCAGCCAAGGGTTGGACACGGCTACAACCCCAATTCCGAAATAGTTGAGACGAAGTGTAAATTCTGATTAAAATCAAAATGCAATGACTTTCAGATCACATGAGCCAATGTGTTATTTACAATAGAACATAGATAACATTTCAATTGTTGAAATTGAGACATTTTACATTTTTATCCACAAAATGAGCTTATTTCAAATTTTCTGCCTGCAATGGGTCTCAAAAAAGTTGGGACACAGGCAAAAAAGGGCTGAAAAAGCAATTAATATATAAGAGAATCAGCAGAAAGAACATTTAGCAAGTAATTAAGTTAACTGGCATCAGGTGTGTAACACAATTGGCTATAAAAGGGATGCCTTAGAGAGGCTGAGTCTCTTAGAAGTAAAAATGGCCAGAGGCTCTCCAACCTGTGAAGGCTTGCCTAAAAAAATATAGTGGAATACTTTAAAAACAATGTTCCTCGACATCAAATTGCAAAGGCTTTGAAGGTCTCATCATCGACAATGCATAACACCATCAAAAGATTCAGAGAAACTGGAAAAATCTCTGTGTATAAGGGACAAGGCCGAAGACCTTTACTGGATGCCCGTGATCTTCGGGCCCTCAGATGCCACTGCATCACTCACCGGCATGATTCTGTCATTGACATTACTAAATGGGCCCAGGAATACTTCAAGAAACCACTGTCTGTAAACACAGTCCACTGTGCCATCCACAGATGCCACCTAAAACTCTATCATGCAAAAAGGAAGCCATTGTTGAGCATGATCCAGAAGCACCGCCGTGTTTTGTGGGCCAAGGCTCATTTAAAATAGACTGTAGCAAAGTGGCAAAGTGTCCTGTGGTCAGACGAGTTCAAATTTGACATTCTTGTTGGAAATCATGGGCGTTGTGTCCTCCGGGCTAAAGAGGAGAAAGACCACCCCTCCTGTTATCAGCGTTCAGTTCAAAATCCAGCATCTCTGATGGTATGGGGATGCATTAGTGCATATGCTGTGGGACACTTGCATGTTTTAAAAAGCACCATGAATGCTGAAAGGTATATAAAGGTTTTAGAGCAACATATGCTCCCCTCCAGACGGCATCTATTCCAGGGAGGGCCTTGGGTATTTCAGCAGGACAATGCAAAACCACATACTGCAGCTATTACAACAGCATGGCTTCGTAGTAGAAGAGTCCGTGTGCTGAACTGGCCTGCCTGCAGTCCTGATCTTCCACCGATTGAGAACATTTGGCGCATAATTAAACGAAAAGTCCGACAAAGGAGACCCAAAACTCTCCAGCAGCTGGAAGCCTGTATTAAACATGAGTGGGATCAAATTCCAATGGCTAAACTCAAGAATTTGACCATGCGTTGTTTCAAAATGCTGGCATTGGAGAACTTGTCAAGTCATGGCAGTGAGTTTCACTATGGAAATGCTGAATATCTAGATATGTTGTTTGCTGAAAGTGGTAACGAAAATGAGCTGACTTTCTTGGCTCTGAGGAGCGTGAAATTCTGATCTGATTGATTCAGTGCTGAAGTGTCCTATGTGAGAAATATTTTGAGTGGTGTGTTAGAATTTTATAAAAAAAAAATAATTTAGCATTTTAAAAGGTTAATTCAATTGCACGAAAATGGGAAGAACTTGTTCATCTGTTTATTAACCTAAACATGGATTCTCCAAGAACGCCAAAATTCAGGACACTATTCAATGAATTTAACCATTATTTTTACATCTGAATATTTACTTCTTTCCAAATGGCATCTGAGGTAGTTTACAGAAGTGAAGCTACATACATTTCACAAAGAACTGAGAGCACTAACTTTTGAATTGAGCTGTATATCCAGGACTGGAGACAGTGCTCACCTGGTATATGTGGAAGCCGATAGGCTGGAGGGCTTTGGCGGGGCAGTGCTGGCGAAGTGTGATTCTCGTGTTGGGCCCTCTGGATTGGTAGCTGACAGTCAGAGGCACATGTGGGTTTGTCCGGTGGGACGGAAAGTTCCTGCTTCCCCCAGCTGAAATTCCTGGTACCCACTTCCCTGGGAAGAAGCTGGTCTCCCACTCTCCATCCGAAACTCCCACAACCGAAAGACGGGAAGTCTTCAACGCACTATTGCACGACACAATCACGCGTAAGCCTAGGCATCGGACTGCCATTTTCCACAAAAAATAAAGCTCAGAGGTACTTGATAGAGACACATGATTTTTCAGCTTTAAACAAAGAAAAGCCATAAAGTATGACTATGTTTTCTCCACAAACACTTTATAGGACTGCTACCAACAAGTCCTCCCCAGTATTGTTCCATCTCCTGGCTGGCTTGCAAAAATAAGGACCCTCATTTCCATCTTCTACAGTCATTCAAATAATGACCAAAAAAAAAAAAATAGTCACAAAGTAAAAAAGGGCAAAATTTTGCTCTAATTCGTGGCATAGGATTGCACTGAGTAGTACTACTGCCTAAGAGGAAATAATAAAGTGGGTTGGAATCCAGGCATGGCCTTTCTGTGAGGTGTTAATATTATCATCAAGTTCATGTGGGTTTCCACTAGCTACATCCAGTTTCCTACCTCAGTCCAAAGACAGGCATATACAGGCAAACAGGAGACTCCATATTGCCCATAGGCATCAGAATGAGTGATTGGCCTGTGTGTACATGCATGGATTGCATCTCCCTCACTGAATGCTGGAGTAATCTCCAGCGCCAGTGTAACCCCAACCAGGCATATAAGAAGAGTAACTGATGAATTAATAGATTTAACAGCGATCACGTGAAGCATAAGAGCCCTCTGTTGGTTTAAAGGTCCACTATCATGTCACCAGGCGCACAGTTAATTGGCCACTACAAAACATTTCAAAATCTGTTCCCTTGTGACGTCACATGGGGAAGCAACCATCCTGAGGCATGAAGGTCTGATCAACTTCAGCCAATCAGTTAATAGCTCCTTCATTTTACTGGGTGGACTTTTCCCCCTTGAAATGTCACAAAGGATAGATTTTGAAATGGCTTGTTATGGCTAATTGGCTGTTGACTTAGAGCAGGGCTATTCAACATTACCCTGCAAGGACCAGTGTGGGCGCAGGCTTTCATTCAAACCAAGCACTTACACACCTAATTCTACTATTCAAGCTCATTAGCAAAGACTCTTGGGGTCGATTAGTGGTGTCAGGTGTGTAAGTCCATGGGTGGAATGAAAGCCTGCACCCACACCGGCCCTTTCTGGATAAGGTTGAATAGCCCTGACTTAGAGACATGATGGGGTAGCTTAACCTTATTAAACTTCTGGAGACTCAAATGCCATACCCAAAGAATCTGCAATTGGGTGACTGGCTCCATCACCTAGGAAACAGCAGAGCCTACCTCAGAGACACAGGCGCGGAAGAGAAGACCCTAAGCAGGAAGCTCGACTCCGCCCCCTGGAGAAAGGTGCTGGGAATGAGAAGGTGAAACCCCGCCCCCAGGTTTGTGCGCAGTGTGACCTCACGCTCGTAGGCGTGGCAGTGGGTGGAGGCACAGGGTGTTTTGTTCAGTGTACGGGTTACATTAAAGTGCTTCTTCTCCACCTGGAGGGAGGGTATGGGGAAGACAGAAAGGGTATACATATCTTCCATGTAATGTTTTCAAAATAAAGCCCAAATATTTAAGTCTTCATGAAAGTATTTAGCACAACAGCGTAGCGTGAGGACCATAAAGTATTGAGATAATGGAACAGTTTTGAAGGGAAGTAACTGACATAGAGTTCCCTTGGTATGAATCCCACAGGCGAAGTTAAAAGTGGGGTACCCTTCCACTTCAAAAAGAGCTTCCCCAACAGATCTACCTTCCACATGTGGAGTCCAATGGCTTGGTAATGCTGATGCTGCTCAGGGCTGCCCTCTAGTGGTCCTTCCATGTTTCTGTACTTCTTGGAAATGGAGGGTTGCCGCCAACCTCTATGCTGCAGAAGAGACACCAGCACCTCTCCCGGTTCAGAAAACCGCAGCCAGAATTTGGGGTTACTGCCATAACTGGTGTTATTGCGACAACCACCTGCGGAATGATCTTTGA